TGAGTGGGTGTGTGGGTATGTATGGGGGGGTTGTGTGCAAGCATGTGTGAGTGTATGAATATGTATGCGTATGTGTGCATGTCTATGTGAGATTATAGGTATGTGTGGGCATGTGAGTGTGCATGGATATGCGCATGTGTGTTGTGTATGCTCCCCAACTACGTAGATTCAGAGGTACTCAGAGCAGGCCTGAGTCAGAAACCTCAGCCAGAAACCCTAGACAGTGACCTTCACAGAAGCAGGTACAAGGGAACAACCGCCAAGGGAGCAGGCCCAAGTCAGAGACCTCTGCAGACCAGGCACAAGTCAGGGACCTCTGAGGGAGCAGGCCTGAGATAGAGACCTCTGTGGGACTGGGCTCACACCAGAAACCTCCATGGAAGCAGGCCCAAGGCAGAGACCTCTGCAGGACCCAGTGCAAATCAGCGACCTCCAAGCTCCAACAACCTCTGCTGGAGCAGGCCTGAGCCAGCAACCTCTGCCAGAGCAGGCCCAAGGCAGTGACCTCAGTGGAAGCAGGCCAGAACAACTCCCAGGATTGCAGAGTGACCCCCAGAAATACCAAGTGACCGCTGGGGATACTGGAACCATGGCCCTGACTGCACCATGAAGACTAACCATCTGAACCTTAGATCTACTGGCAACTGGAAGATTGATCACCAGAGACACAGCCCCAACTACACCAATCAGAAGAAAAGATGGGTAGACAAGGTAAGAACACCCTCAACACCACAAAGAGCAGTACAACACCAATAAAAACTAGTGACCCTAAAACATCAAGACTTGAACACCCAAATATAGATGAAGCAGAAGAAAATGACCCAAAAAATAACTTCAGGAGAATGTCTGAGGCCCTTAAAGAGGAAATGAAAAATTCCCTCAAAGAAATGGAGGAAAAGACAAACAAAAAATTGGAAGTGGTGCGGGAGAATTGTCTATAATCTGTCAATCATGTTTTAAATAAATGCTGATTGGCCAGGTAGGAAGTATAGGTAGGAAAACCAGACAGGAAGTAAAAATGATGCGATGAGAACAGGAAAATTCTGGGAAGGAGCAAGTTGATTTCTCCCAGTCCTGCGCAGACCACCGGGGAAGCAAGATGTGACCTGCCCACTGAAAAAGGTACTGAGCCACATGGCTAACATAGATCAGAAAAATGGGTTAATCAAGATGTGAGAGTTAGCCAGTGAGAGGCTAGAGCTAATGGGCCAATCAGGTTATAATTTATGGAGACCTATGTGTGATTTTCTTTGGGGCTAAACAGCTGTGGGAACCGGGCAGGACAGAAAACTCCAACAACAACTCAGGCCCTCATGTTACAAATGGTGTCCAACATGGGGCATGAACCCATGACCCTGAGATTAAGAGTCTCATGCTCTATTGACTGAAGAAATCAACAAATCCCTTTAAAAACCCAAGAAAAAGCAATCAAACAGATGAAAGAAACAATTCAAAACTTGAAAACCAAAATAAACACAATAAAGAAAACATAAACCAATGGAATTATAAAAATGGAAATTATAAGAAAATGATCAGCAACCACAAATGCAAGCATAAACAGCAGAATAAAAGAAATGGAAGAGAGAATCTCAAGCACTGAAGATACAATAGAGGAAATAAGACTCATCAATCAACAAAAACATTATATCTAACAAAAGCATAACACAGACTATCCAGGAAATATAGGACACCATGTAAAGACCAAACCTAAGAATAATAGGGATAGAAGAAGAAGTCCAACTTAAAACCACAGAAAATATATTCAGTAAAATCATAGAAGAAAACTTCCACAGTCTAAAGAAAGATATGCATATGAAATACAAGAAGCTTACAGAATACCAAATAAACTGGAAGAAAAAAAAGTCCCCATGCCACATAATAATGAAACACTAAACAGACAGAATAAAGAAAGAATATTAAGAGCAGCAAAGGAAAAAGGCCAAGTAACATGAAGGCAGAGCTATCAGAATTACACCTGACTTCTCAATGGAAACAATGAAAGCCAGAAGGTCCTGGTCAAGCATTATGCGGCATTAAGAGACCACTGATGCCAGCCCAAACTACTATACCCTGCAAAACTTCAATCACCATAGATGGACAAAATAAGATATTCCATGACAGAACCAGATTTAACCAATCCCTAACCACAAACCCAGCCCTACAGAAAGTACTAGAAGGAAAACTACAACCTAAGAAAGTTAGCTACATCCACAAAAACACAGACAATAGATGATCTCACAGAAGCAAATCCCAAAGAAGGGAAGAACATAAAATCACAAACAATGAAAACTAAAATAACAGGAACTAGCAATTATTGGTCATTAATTTCCCTTAATATAAATGGACTCAACTCACCTTTAAAAGGCACAGGTTAATAGATTGGATACAAAAACAGAATCTATCCTTCTGCTGCATACAAGAAACGCACCTCAACCTCAAAGACAGACATCATCTCAGAGTAAAAGATTGGGGAAAATTTTTCCAATCAAATGGACCTAAGAAACAAGCTGGTATAGCTATCCTAATATCTAATAAAACAGACTCCAAACTAAAAATCAGTCAAAAGAGACCAAAAAAAGGACATTTCATATTAGTCACAGGAAAAATCCATCAAGAGGAACTCTCTATATCCCAAATACAAGGGCACCCTCATATGTAAAAGAAACACTATCAAAGCTTAAATCACATATTAAACCCCACATACTAATAGTTGGAGACTTCAACACTTCACTCTCACCACTGGGCAATTCAGTCAGACAAAAAATGAACAGAAAAATAAGGGAACTAACAGATGTTATGACTCAAATGGACTTAACAGACATATATAGAACATTCCATACAAACGTAAAAGAATATACCTTCTTCTTAGCACCTCATGGAACATTCAAAAAAACTGAACACATACTAGGTAACAAAGCAAACATCTATAGATACAAAAAAATGGAATAACCTCATGTATCTTATCGGATCACCACAGCTTAAAATTAGAACTTGACAGCAACACTAATTTCAGAAAGTCTACAAACTCAGGGAAATTAAAAAAATGCTCACTTAAATCATCAATGAGTCAGGGAAGAAAGAAATGGAAAAAAAATTAAAGACTTCCTAAATTTCAACAAAAATGACCACACAACACACCCAAATTTATGGGACACAATGAAAGCAGTGTTGAGAGGAAAATTCATAGCACTAAATGCCTACTTAAAGAAGATGGAAAAATCCCACACTAGTGAGTTAACAGAACACCTGAAAACTCTAGAACAAAAAGAAGCAAACCCACCCAGGAAGACTAGACAGCAAGAAATAATCAAATTGAGAGCTCACATCAACAAAATGGCACATTTTCGCTGTTTGAAATTATATCATTATAAAACGTGGGGGAAAAATGGTTGGGGAACTTTTCTTCCTTAAGCATTTGATCCCCAAATTAACAAGTTGATCTCAGAAGTGCTTTGGCTCATATGGCTTTAAAATAAAAACAGCTAACATTTGACGTGTTTTTTGCCCGCCAGCCAGTGGACTAGAAGCTTTCTGGACATTATATCGTTTTCATGAGTGTACAATTTCCCCCACTCTCTAAGGAGAAAATTAAGGCTCTGGGAGGAATTATTTGGGTAGTGTTGCACAGCTGGTAATTGTGGGTTGGGATTTAAACACTGGTGTAATTCATGAACCTCATGCCCGTGAAGAAACCAAACAGCATTTGCTTGTGTGCCTTCAGTACCGGGAAGTGCACGTGTTGCCTTAAGCTGTGTAAACCTTGACCAGAGAAGGGAGATGACACCAACCATTTGGGACCAGAGCTCTTGTGTACTTGTCTCTTAGCTCTCAATGACAGGGATAAAATGGATGAACTCTCAGTGCACGTGACCGTCACACGTGATTAAAAACTAACGCTGGGGAAATCGGAAGAACTTCACGTAAGTCTTATGACCTGTCAACAGCAGAACCAGGATTTGAACACAGGTCTTCTTATTCCAACGCCTTTCTGATTTCCCAGTTTTCAATTCATTCAAACAGGTGACTAGCGACAAAGAAATGAGTGCTGGCCTCATTGAGCACTTCCTTTGTCCAGGCTTCCCACCCCCATGTCGCGTGGACTGGCCCCTTGGTTTCAGGCTACGCCAACCAGATTGTCACAACTGAGGCTGTTCAGTGACCTAGCTGAGGACAGAGCCTGGGTCATTTCCTATCACTGTCCACAGCACCCGGTCACAGAATCTCCTAAAGGGCCCTCAGCAAATGAACGGAGAAAGAAAACATGACCTCAAGGCTGGAGAGATGGCTCCATGCTTAAGACTGCCTGCTAATTTGGTTCTCAGGACCCACACAGGGCAGCTCACAATGTATGTGACTCCAGCTCCAGGGGAATCCGACACCCTTTTCTGGCTTCCATGAATACTGCACACACACACACACACACACACAAAAAGAGAGAGAGAGAGAGAGAGAGAGAGAGAGAGAGAGAGAGAGAGAGAGAGAGGCATGCACAAATAAACACACATGCACAAACACACACGCGTAATCTTAAAAGGAAGCACTGTCTGCATTCACAATAGAGGTTTACTCCACCGTGAAGAATGAAATCACTCAGTTTCAAGGGATTGGTTAGAAATGGAAACGGTCGTGCTAGGTGAAATAAGGCAGACTAGTTTTCTCTTCTATGTTGGAATCAAGGGGAAGAAAATATTAGAAGTTGTGGAAGCGGAGAAGGGGGAGGGGAGGGAGGCACAAGAAGTGAACTGACTGAACTCCATTCTACACACACGTAGACATACTCTAATGGAACCCAGTACAAGGCACCATTAACGCTAGCAAACAGGGATGCTGCGCTGGTGTGTGGATTTCCTCCAGCTGAGCTCAAACCCCTTTCCCCCTCCAGGACACCTGCAGTCGTGTCCACCTCACCACCCTGACCCACAATGCCTTGTAAGCCGCCCCGCCTCTGCTCCTCCGGGCTGAACAGTTCCTAGCCTACTCTGCTTTCTCATGCCCAGCCCGGTCCTCTAAACATGGCTTTGTTTATCTTCAACCTTCAGAAAACTCCGTGGTTGCTGACTGCAGAGGAAGTAGGCAGACCCAGACTTCCTGTGGAGAGGAAGGTCAGATTCGGTCTTCAGACAACGGAGAGAAAATAGCGCTGTTGCGTGGAGGCAGTTTGCATTCCGTAGAGAGTCGTCCTGCCGTGGGAGGGGGCCGAAGAAAGATGGAGCCATGGTGAGATCAGAACCCTCACAGCGGACGCGGAATAAAATACAGCCAAGGAGAAGGCGTGCGTGCGAATCAAAATATACGGGTTAAATTGCTGCGGGCAGGCACGGAGCAGGGGATCAATAAATATCGGCCGGCATTAACATCAGCTCGGCCGTTGATGCTTCCCAGCGTCCCTAGCAGCACCTCTCTACCTGGGCTAGCCACGTGTGTTGTTTCTTTAATCCTTAGGGGCTGGTAGTAATCCTGCAGTCCCCAATTTAAAGACCCAGAAATCCAAAACTCACAAAGTTGTGTTTCTTACCTCAGTAAGTAAAACCTTGGGGTTTAGAACCAAACAGTTTTGGGCTGAAATGTTAGCCAGTTCATACAAACAGCGCATTGTATATTGTAGGCTCCCAGTAAATGGCATACCCGCACACGTGTACACACACACACACACACACACACACACACGTATACATCTATATCTGTGCATGCGCTTTAAAGGACATGCAGGGGTTTTCGTGTGCGAAGGGCAATGGGCACCTGTAGGTGATAATTGCGGAGACACACATTTGAGCATTCAATACAAACCCTGAGAAAATACTCTTAGATGAAAAACAGGAGGAAAGTGACTTTGAAAGGAAGAAATCTCATAGGTGAGTAGAGAGAAGGCTGGAATCCTCGGGCCTGACCAGAAACAAACAAACAAACAAAGAACACCTCCTCCATCCCTACCCCCCAAAATGAGTTTTGGACTTCGTGGCTCCTGGCCAGCCACCTGCTCCACAGCCCACTTCCAGCAACCAGGAAGCGGTTCTGTCCTCACCCCCACCAATCCCAGCCAAGGAGGAAGCTCTCGGGGCGTCCCGTTGCCAGGTAACCAAGCTAGCCCTACCTGGCAGTTAGGCCTCAAGGCTGAGCTCGGAGGTGGGGCTGCCTTGCTCCCTTGGCTCACTGGCGGGGCAGCGAGGGTGGGACTTTTGTCTGTAGAGTTTTATATATTTCAGCTCACGTTTTATTTTGCTTATAAAGAAAGTTATTCACGCCTTAGAAACAGAGGAGACTTACAAAGTGAGTTTGTGCATATGAACCGTCCCGGCTTGCCTGGTGGACCTTACCAGACTCCCCCTGCCCGAGACACCGCCGGATGGTCAGCTTTCTAACTAGTCCCTGGAGAAACCTCCTTACTGTCCCCGGACTTGGACTTGAAGGGCTGGGAGACTCTTCTGAATATTTTCACACCAGTGAATGCTGAAGTCAAAGATTCTGGAAAGGGCAACCGAACCGTTCTCTTGGAGGCACGGGTTAAGCCCGAAGTATTTTAAAAATGACCAAAGTGCCAGCCACCAAAAAGTTACAGAGTGTCCCCAACAAGAAAGCCCTTTGGCCTTCTTATGCCTCAGATCAACAGACCCAGGTGAGTCGCCTCTCTGCTGAACCAGAGAAATGGATCAGGTTCGCCTGCCTGGGAGGGGGGAAGGGATGAGGACCTAGGTATAATTAAATTGTCCAGACATCCCTGTCGTTCTGGACGGTTGGTTTCTCACAGAGAATGAAAACACAGATCAGAACTGTGAGCTGGGCCCATCCCATTAGCCAGTAATTCCAAAACGATGGGCTAAATCGACAGAGACTATAGAGCATCAGGGGGAAATGAAGATGAATTGTAGGCTGGGATCGCAGAACTTAGCTCCAGAGATCTGCCAGGCAAGAGACAGGCCCTCCCTCTTACTTTGTGTGGGGTATCACTCTTGGGGTCGAAGGCTGGGCTGGTTGCAGCGCCTGCTGTGATCATCAGGTGAGTTTCTCGGCATCTCTGAGCCTTCCTCTCCTCCTGCCTGCTGAGGTGGGCATGTCAACTAGGCCTAAATCAGGCTCAAGATGGTAGCTGGTCTATCTCCATGTGTGTGTGAGGTGGATCTGGGACAGGCTATCCTGTCTTTGGTGCTGCGTCCAGGGCTCTTAGATGCAAAGGTCAGAGCTGGGTAGATGATGTTTTAAGCAGTTTAACTTTGATGTCTTGAACATCTCAGTCCCCCACGGTTAGCTAATGGAGGGTGGTAGGAAGGGTGGTTGCCAGCCCACTCTAGTCCACCCACAGGGATTCAGGAGGGCTCAGAGTCATGTCCCAGGAAGGATGACCTGTGGTAAAGGAATCTTTAAACTCTCTAGGACTTTACACATGGTCCAGAAAGTTCCAAGTTCCAAGGCAGCTTCTTCTGGTTTTTCAAGATTTTATTATTTTTGTATTATGCTTATGAGTGTTTTGCTACTGTGTACCTGATACCCCAGAACTAGAGTTAAAGATGACCGAGTTGCTGTGTATGTGCAAGGACTCAAACTCTGGTCCCCTGCAAGAATAGCGAGTGCTCTTAACCTCTGAGCCATCTCTCCAGCCCCAAGGCTGCTACTCTTGAAACGGTGAAGCATCTCTACTCACCCCGCCTTGCTCTGCCCACTGGGGATGAGGCCCAGCCGTGTGTGTGTTTCTCCTGTCATCTCTAACGGCTTCACTGAGGACGTTTGACCCAGAGCTTCCTCCCTGGAATCAAACTTCAAGGTAGAGCAGGAAGGGAAGGAAGGGGGACCGACCATGTGTGAGATGCTTGTCACAGGAGCGGGTTCAAGGGACCGCCCACATGGCTGCCCGACTCCCATAAGATGTTCTCTGACTATAGGAAGTGGGTCTCAAGAAGATGATCACATAGTCCGAAGAATTTTGGAAAGATAAACAGCCTCACTTTTCCCAGAGGATGCCTAGCAAGCAAGCAGAGCAAACATACCCAGTGGGGGTCCATTTGAGTTTTTTTTCCTAATGCAAAGGGGTCCTGTGTCTCACTCCTTTTATTATTATTATTAAATTGTATTATATGTGCATTGGTGTGCCAGATCCCCTGGAACTGGAGTTACAGACAATTGTGAGCTGCTATGTGGGTGTTGGGAACTGAACCTGGGTCCTCTGAAAGAATAGCCAGGGCTCTTAACTGATGAGCCTGTGTCTCATTCTTGAGTGATGTGAGCTCCGTGTCAAATTCTCATGCCATTGGCTAACTCAGAGCATCCGTTTCTAGGAAGAAAGGAGAGCTGTGCACATACTTTTGATCCTAACAAGTGCTGGCCCTGGAGGAATTTGAGTTTCTACTAAGTGGATGCTTTACAGTTTTTTTTTTTTGATGGAGTTTGTCTTATTTAACTTTGCTAGGAAAGACAATACATTTTGTTTGCATTTCTCGTATGACCTCCTCATACACACCATGGCACACACATAAAATAAATAAGTAATTTTTATTGTAATTTTTAAAGACATCTCTTCACTGCCATATGATGGGCTCAGGGTATCGCTGACCATCATTCAGAAGATTATACCTTCTGAACATCAACATTTTAGAGCCACTGGAATGCACTGATTAACCCTACCTTGGCTATGACAAACTATAGGGAAATATGTGGCTCAAAGACAAATCCTGGGGCCAATAAAACTAATAATAATGTCAGTTGCCACCACCATGGTGATGCCTAGCCAGTACTGAGCGTCTGGCGGATGTAACATTCAGAGCCAAAGCGTCGGCAGGTGTGAAATTCCCATAGCCTTCTACAGTCTGTCAAGACCTGTAGATGCAAGAAGTACCAAGGCTCAGAGAGGACAGGACCCAGGCAAGGGGCAGAGCTGGGATTCGAACTGGAATCCCACTCACTCCAAAGTTCAGTCCTTCTCTGTATCCCTATGCTGACTCAGAGGTTGTCCTGCTTGGTGCCCAGCATGTAAGGGGCACAAAACCAGTCAGATGGTTTTCTAGGCCTGCTTTGGAGAGGGAAGGGAAAGATGTATAAAAAGAGAATTTCAAAATGCTGTACTGGAGGAGGAGTGTAGGAGGGATAGCTCCCATGAGTGATTAGGCATCCCCAGGAGGAAGGTGGGGCCATCCTGCATCCATCACCTGGCCATAATTGCTAGCTGCTGGCGCAGCCACAGATGACTCCAAAGTCTCTGAGGCTTGCCATTTCTCCTTCTCACAGAGAGAAAGGCTGTGAGGTCAGAATTAGTGTTACACAGATAGCTTTCGTGTGCAGCCTCTTCATGCGACTATGTTCTGCTGGGTTTCATGTGCATTTTTTGTTTAGTTTTCTTTCTCCCAACAGAAGGAATATAAGCATGTAAATCCCCTGGTTGAAATCTTTTGTTGAAGCAACCTTGTAGATGGAGTTTTCCTTTCCTGCCAGATCACTCTCAAATAACCAGAGTTTTGTTATTAATTCTAAACATTTGGCCAATAGCTCAGGCTTATTACTAGCAAGCCCTTACATTTGAAGTTAACCTCTTACCTACCCTCTGTCGCGTGGTGGTATTAGCATGGCATGCTCACCTCCTCTTCCTCTGGCTGATGACCCTCTCACTCTGCCCCTCATCTTCCCAGTGTCCTTAGTTTGGCTCGCCCACCTAACCTTATCCTGTCCAGTTATTGACCAGTCAGCTTCTTTACTAAACCAATCAAGCAACATCTATTCACATAGTGTAAAGGAATATTCCACAAAACCTTCCTGCTCCCTAATCTGTTTAGTGGTTCTGTTTCCTTTTGTCCCCCACAGGAAGCTGGAGGGAACCTAACAGAGCAATCACAGTAGAGGGAGGGTTCCTGTGGGGGATTGCAGGGAACCCACAGTTTCTGACTCAAAAAAGGCTAGGGGCCTTATCAAACAAATATCCCCTCCATAATCTAGAAAAGTGATGACGTTGGCTCTCGGTGCCTGGACTTCCTTGCTTGCAGTCATTAAACCCCAAGATAGAAAAGAATGGCCTTAACTTGGCCAGATCCTAAAACTTTCAGAATGACAGAAGAGACTAGAGGAGTCTCTTCTAACTCAACAAGTGGCCCAAATAGTGAGCAGATTCTCCAATAGGCCAAGTAGGTTTCCACCCGGGAGGTCCGGTGACCTTAGGCAGATCACTTCCTCTCCCTGCCCCGCTTTGCAATTCTGTGAAATATGGACATCACTTTTAAGTTTATATCTATTATTATTATGGGGAGGGGGCAGGTCGGAGGGCACGTGTCCCTCAGTACCCACAGTGAGGTCTGAGGAAATTCTCTCCTTCCACCTTTAACATGGGTTCTGGGACCAGGACTCAGGTCAGCAGGTTTTTGCAGCAAGCCCCATTACCTGCTGAGCCACCTCCGCAATCCCCATTTGTTTTGAAAACCAGGACCTCTTCTCTTTCATGGTGCAGCATCTGTTTTATGATGGCTTTTGATTATTTATTTATTTATTTATTTATTTATTTATTTTGCGTCACTGTAACAGTAAGTTGTACAAGTTAAGGGGGTGCTGGGAAGGGGTTAAAATGTGAACCATCAGCTGCATCTTACTGCAGAGGAAGTTTGACTGAACGGCTCCACCCTGATAATACGGCTTCTAGAAACAGATGGGTGTGTGGGGGTAAAATTCAAACTGAGCTTGACATACTGTAAGCCAACTGAGTATCAGCTACCATGACGGTGGTGTTAAATCTCATTAATGACCAGAGGGTTAAGGTCTTATCGTTGGGTACATTGGGGCCCGTGGAGCCCCGAGGTCCAGTTCTCCGCAGAGGGTACATTGGGGCCCGTGGAGCCCCGAGGTCCAGTTCTCCGCAGAGAACTGGGCAGGCAGATGATGAGGGAAGGAAAAGGGAAGCCAGGTAGGACGCCTGATACTGAACACGCCTGAGCATTCATGGCCAGGAGTCTGCAGAGCCTTGGCTCACTCTGCATTCAGGTGCCTGGAATTTAACAGGATGTCTTAGAAAGATACTCTTTTGCCAGAGGAAGCCCCCTAGCAGGACAGCCGGCTTCACTGTGGCAGACAGGAGTAGGAGCTGCCCCCTGGAGAGGAAAAGGCCAGATGAGTCACTGCGGTTTGGTTGGAAGCAAACCTGGAGCCAGGCACTGTCCAGACCTCTAATCAAGGATGCCACACCCCCTGCGCTGGATCACTGATTACACTGAAAAAGTAGTAAATTATCTAATGCCCACTTGTGATTTAATGCTGGGGGGAAATGTAGGCGGCCAGAGCCCTGTGTGCCAGGCATGATTTGGGCCAGAAAATAGCAGGGAGCCATTTCTTGCTCCAAGGGGCCCTGTGGTGACTGCACGGCACAGTTGCAATTTACGGGCTTGGTTTTGCTTTATAAATGTCCTTCCTTCCTTCCTTCCTTCCTTCCTTCCTTCCTTCCTTCCTCCCTCCCTCCCTCCCTCCCTCCCTCCCTCCTTCCCTCTCTCCCTCCCTCCCTTCCTCTCTTTTTGTCCTCATGTCCTCATGCTCTGAGCCAGTACTACTCGCCAGAGTGAACCTTCACTGAGTCTAATTGCAGACCCCGTGACAGCTACTCGGCTCCATGATCAATCAGCAGGCAGGAAGGCGCTGCTCCATTACCTCCCGGCG